CACAAGGGAACGGAGTTCGGGCCGGTCTTCATGACAATCCCAGCCTTCTTTGCCAAGACCTCTGCCGTCTACAACCCGCTCATCTACATCTGCATGAACAAGCAGTTCCGCCACTGCATGATCACCACCCTGTGCTGCGGCAAGAACCCCTTCGAGGAGGAAGAGGGCGCCTCCACCACTGCATCCAAGACCGAGGCTTCCTCCGTGTCGTCCGTGTCCCCGGCATAAACACGCGGGCGTGACGCACCTCAAGCAGCGACATGCACTGGGCTTCGACGGGCTTCAACCCACTCAGAGACCACGGAGCGCTCAGCCCAGGGAAACGAGCGACCGCTACCACTTGCAGAAAAAATCGTCTGTCAGTTTTCCTTTTTGTATTTTTACAAAACCCAATTGGTTCAACCAAAAGACAGTTCTGAGAGAGGACAGACCATGTCCCAGTTTCAGTACATCCAGCGAGTCCAGCGTAACGGTACATACGATTCTTTTTGTTTGTCTTCCTAAAATGCAGCAAAAAGAACACATATCTTAACTCTTACTGCTGGACTCCTTATACTGGCTTTGTTGTGATTGTAGAGGCATGTATTCAAGGCAACGTAACAATAAAAAGCACTTTGCAAATGAAATCGCTCTGTTTATGTGTTGATTGAGCTGTGATGGTAATGAAATGTCAAAATAGTATTTTAAACTGAATAAACAAGATTCCTGACGAGAGCTTCAATGTCATGTATATATTCCTACCTACCGCTGTGAAGGAAGGCTGTGAGAATCAATCATTTTCAATCAAGATCAGTCCAACACCGCAAAGTTGCAGAATTAATCTACGTGGTTCGAATCGCTGTACGTACAATTTAGAGCACCATGTATATTATAACAGGCTCAATATGTTATTCAATGCAAGTTTAAGAGCCTCACTGTCACCTTGGATTAAAGGCTTTATGAAGGATGATTTGACAGATATGTATGGATGAATTAGGTAGGATCAGAGCTGACGTGCTAATCCAGATCTAGCTCTAGGAGTGGAGAAAATAGATAACGATTATGTATAGTTGGCCTTTCACTGGCGTCTGTTTAAATGGGAACACGGACGCACAGCCTCGCAACCTTGAGCTGAACTCTTCCCTAGTAGAAAGTATATAAATCATGTATTTAGATGGAAAATGCACACTATCTGTCCGATATAGTATTCCAGAATTATTGTGTCCCAAATCGTAGTATGTTGAAAATGAGCATTTATCTTTGAAATGCTCATTTTCAACATACTACAATTTGGGACACAATAATTCTAATTATTGGTCTATTGGACGGTCTAATGTTCCTGGTTGGAAAGTGCAAAGAGAGGGAATGCGCGTGACGTCACCGTCGGCCGGCGTGCCTGCAGTTCCTCACAGCGAAAAACAAACACAACACACACACATAAAGTGGGAAAGAGCTTTGCGATTGACTGTAGGCCTACAACTAGATTTAACAAAACATCCGAGGTATATTTGTACAGACTGCTATGGAAAGAGGAGCAAATGGATCGCTGTAATTCACAGAAACAACTGGACTCCAGTCAGCCAAAGGTGGATTTGCAGTTATCATTTTGTGTCAATATGCTGCATTTAGCTGTAAAACCATACCCGTATATTTTGTATTGTTATATACATTAACAGCTCATCAATTAAATATTTATCATTGCATATTCTGCATTATTGGATGTTTTTTTAATAAACACTGACCAAAAAACGTATAAAGTTTTAGAGCTGGACGATATAACACTGATATAAGTGATCACCCGGATTTAGACCTACCTATATTATACTTATATAAACCGTTCACAGGCAAATTTGCTTTATGTTTAGGTCTTGCTTTTATTTCCCCGGTATCGAAATCAGGCAAACATAAATGTCAGGCAACACGATTCCTGGCTGCATGTCAATATCCATGGATCACTGGATCTTTAGTAAGTTGTAAGGAACACTATATTGAGTCCAACATTTAGTTTAAATTGCTAAAATTGTTCGATTTAGTCGCATTTCCGCAGTTTTCCCCTATTGAATCCAGTCACGCAGCAGATCTTTTGCCACTCGTCAGGCTGAGGGGGGTTGTCAGGCACGTGGGAAAGTCACGTGTCAATGCATTCCCTCTATACGTGCTCACAGGATTCGATTAGAACTACAAACGCGAAACAAAAAATGTTCAAATAACTAAAAACCCAAGTTAGTGGTTAATAACCTGATGAAAATATTCAAAATAGAAGTCCTTGGATTAAAACAGATTCAGTGCTCTTTCAGAAGTTGTCCAATAGCGCCCCCTACAGTATAACAGTGAAAACACAGAAAGCCAGAACATTACAGCAATGGTGGGGAAAGAGTTAATAATGCCTTAAAATCTTTGTGGATGTATTCATTAGGTAGATGGAAGTCCTAAGCAACTTCCCAGTGAAGTACAATTCAAATAACCATACACTCAATGAAGTGTATGCTATACAGACGCGCGGATGCAGGGCTATCGATGGCATTCTTACCTGAATATTTTTGAGAGACGTTCCTCGGATGTTATAACGTTTCTTAAATGTAGTGTAATTTCACACCACCACAATGAACACAAGATTGTGAATTTGTATGGAAAACTTTATTTGATAATAAAAATAGCATTCACAGACTTCTTTTTGATAGCTACATATACATTGTGATCCATTCAAACAGGAAGGAAAAAAAAACTTTACCGTGTAAGTCAACGTCTACTTGAACTTAGACTAATGTTATGTATAACTTCATGAGTCAAATAAAGCTATGGACAATGCAGAATTTTTACATATGCATCGTTTTGTAAAAAAAAAAACAACAACAACAAAAAAATAAACAGACCATTTTATCGACAGAAAAAAGCATTTAAAATCCATAGAACTTTGCAGAGACCACAGACAGTACACGAGATCTGTAGAAACGAAGCAGGCTATCCATCACAACAGATATTCAACCGCCTTGCATGAAAAACATCAGTCTCCCAGCTTTCCTGGAGGGAGGAAAACCAAAAGTAACTTCACATACGCCTGATTCTGAGTACACACGATCGTAGTCCCAGCGGGCCCAGTATAAACATGTTAGTATCTTCTTCTAGGTGGACATCTTTCATAAATTCTTTTTTGTACAGAGAAAAGGCAACGGTATCTTTTCCTACACGGGTTAATGTACATACAGTAATAAAAGTCTGTACAAAAGACAGCGGCGGATTCGTCCATTTCCATACAGTACTATTCAGATGACCGAAGGAACTCCCTGTTCTTGTTCCTGGTTGAGAGATTACGGTCCTGTCGAAGCGCGTTCCCAAGCGGACAGGTACTGCGCGTCGAAAGCGTGGCTCAGTTCGGCCGTTTTCATGGCGTCTCCACACATTACTCGACACCGTTCAGAGACTCAGAGCCTTTCAGTGGCCTTTGGTACTGGACTGTGGAGGTAAATGTGGCTGTGTAATGGACGCTCCAAAGTATTTCAGGCCTCTGACTGAGATGACTGTGAACTGCCACTAATAAGTATGCAGGGACTAAAATCAGACAACTGTCCTCATATTTCATTCCTCCAGTGTTTGCATGATTTGGCTCAGCTCCGGCTCTCAGTGCTTCATCTTCCAGAGGAACGCCTGCTGATAGACGTACAGCTCCCACTCACTTTTAAAAGCACCTGATTAGTTCATAAAATATACGTTTTGTAATAACTTGCTTTAAGCTAATTGTGGTCAAGTTTTCTGTACACATGTGCCTTTAGTCTAATTTCTGGTGATTATGGCAAAAAAAAAAAAAAAAAAAAACAAACAAAACAACAACAAAACTTTGTGCCATTCTGCTCTCAGTTTTTTTTGCTAATGGGCGGCTCGAGCCTCGGTCCAGTGCAGTGCTAAGACAAAGTCAGATAGTGTCTGAATGACGTTTTTCAGCCCGTCAAGTTACACTTCAATTTTTCCAAAAATAAATATACACTTCAATATATTACTTCCTTAAACAGTAGCATCATAGTTGGAGGTCCAGTTTTGTCACATCTACTCAAATGTACAAACAAAGAAACAAAAGTTGAATGCTTGTGCTCTAGTTGAATAAATCTGAATCTGGAGAAAAGAGGACACAAAGTAGATGTAGAGAACAAAACAGTTTTAGTCCATACCTTCTTGACAAAACATGGATCTCGCTCACAGCAACATATAAAACCAGATGGACAGATGAAACCAGAAGCCCACTGCTGAAGGAGTGCTGAAGCGTCAGATACTGAGGTCTGCGTGGTTCTCCTTGTAAAGCCGCCTCCTGCTGGGAGAGTTCTGGCTGATCCCGCTCCCGCTCCCGGCTCGCAGAGCATTGTAATAATCCCTCAGCTGCGGAGTGACGCCCTCCTCCAGGAGACTCCCGTCGCTGCTGCTGTCCGATCTCCCGCGGGAGGCTCCGTTCAGGAAATATCCCTGTCTTTCAGCTTGACTGGACGGAGAGCCGTTGTGCAGAAGGTTCCTGTTCTTTAGCCCGCGCTCCGGGGTGCGGCCCAGCGTTTGGGTCACGGCTCTGTCGGGTCGCTCCGGGGTCCGGCCCAGCGTTTGGGTCTCTGTCGGGTCGCTCCGGGGTGCGGCCGGCACGGCTCTGTCGGGTCGCTCCGGGGGCCCAGCGTTTGGGTCACGGCTCTGTCGGGTCGCTCCGGGGTCCGGCCCAGCGTTTGGGTCACGGTTCTGTCGGGTCGCTCCGGGGTGCGGCCCAGCGTTTGGGCCACGGCTCTGTCGGGTCGCTCCGGGGTCCGGCCCAGCGTTTGGGCCATGGCTCTGTCGGGTCGCTCCGGGGTGCGGCCCGGTGTTTGGGTCACGGCTCTGTCGGGTCGCTCCGGGGTCCGGCCCAGCGTTTGGGTCACGGCTCTGTCGGGTCGCTCCGGGGTCCGGCCCAGCGTTTGGGTCACGGTTCTGTCGGGTCGCTCCGGGGTGCGGCCCAGCGTTTGGGTCACGGCTCTGTCGGGTCGCTCCGGGGTGCGGCCCGGCGTTTGGGTCACGGCTCTGCCGGGTCGCTCCGGGGTGGAGGTGAAGAAGACCTCGATGCTGGGGTCTCGGCGGGGCGTCTGCGGGTCTCGTTGGGAACGGGAATGCCTCTCAGGAGTGGAAATCTGGCTCAGCAGGTCCTGGGAAGAGGCCTGATAGCTGCGTTCAGGGGACTGATCTTTATAAGATCGAGTGATGCGACGGTCCACAGACTTGGCCCGACGGCGGTCCGGAGAGCTGTTGCGCTTCCGGCCGGAGGAGCGATCCAAGGATCCACTACGCATCTGAGATCCGGTGATACTTTCCCTGTCTATGGATGGTTTGCGGCCTTGTCTCTGTAAATCCTGATTGGAAGATTTCCTTCCAAATCCGCCCTCTTTCCGTAATGTTTTGAAGAGCTTGGCAATGCCACTCTCGGACTCGGACTTCTTGACCCTGCGGTGCGAGTTGTTTTTGGGGCTGGGCTGGTTGTTCCAGGACAGGGGGTGTGGATCCGGGCCGGTGTCCTTCTCTCGCTCCGGCTGTCTGGCCTTCAGGTGCTGCTGCTTGGGCTGGGATGGGGTGGGATATTCGGATGTATAGCTGGACGGTGGATGAAACGGGCCGCTGACCAGCAAAGTCCTCACTTCCGAATTATTTTGTGGCCCGGGCGAGGGAGGGTAGCTGTCATTTGCGCCGTCTGGAAATGAATGAAGAAAGGCTTTCCGTTAGGAACACTAACAGCACTCAGCTTGTATAGGCGTCTGCACACTGAGTCCGAAATGTTCGTAAGCATTTTTTCGCATTCGTCATTCGGTGGCTCTGAATTGTTAAACATCTCACAAAATGCTGGCTCCGGGTGCGAAAATGCAGAAAATCAAACCTGATCCCAATTTTTTTATGACAGGCGAAAGTTTCGGAGGCAGTGCGTAACACTACGCAACGTGAGGTCGGGTTTTTTTTTACAATTATAATTTTTTGACTTCCGGACTCAGTGTGCAAGGACCTTAACAGTAAAGACGTCACATGACCCTTTAACAAACAGGCAGCACTTGCAATCAAACACATGCAATCAAACATGAAAGCAAAATGCTCACACAACAACCAGTCAAAGCTTTGGGACAGCCCTACTCATTCTTTATAATATCAAGTCATCGAAGCAATGACACAAAACGAAGAATGGAAGTTATGTAGTGACTAAAGAATCTTTTCTAACTGCTTTGCCCTCGAGGGCTGCGTTCCTGCAAAGTTCAGCTCCAACCGGGATCAAGCTCGCCTGATCGAGCTCCTCCAGCAGCAGTTGCAGTGAGTTTGATCGAGGCTAGAGCCGAACTGGCCAGATTACAGCCCTGAAAACTATGATTGGGTCCATCGGAACGATCAGCTGCCGTGTCCGACACACAAACAGCAGAAATCTCTCTTGCTCGAGCATTTCACTTTCAGACACGTGAGAGGCACAATCGGTACTTTAGAGGAGTAATTTAAGTGACGCAAATCATCAAATGATCAAATTTGGAGGCATCACTAATGAATGTTAGCTCCAAATGCCATGCGTCCTTATTATTATCAAACAGAAATTCAGTTCTCGAGACTGAATCTCCAATGAAAGTGTTTCAGACACTGAAAGAAAGAGCTGAAGCTGGAGATTATGAGGACCTTAGTGTGTGTGTGTGATCATGGATGAATGTGAATCTGTTGTAGGAGGCGCCAGAACAACATTAGCGTTAGCCTGTAACACAGCAGAATAGGGGCACTTTAATACAATTAGATGGATGAAGGGTTTAAGACACCCCAGGAAAACGAGATGTTAAAAACTCTCAATCCCATGTGTGACAGGAGTGCCACCAGCCTCCGCAACTCTTCCTGGACACGAGGGATGCCAGGAGGGTCGGGTCATAGTTTAGGAAAGAACGTTTTTTATGGACATTTTTAGAATTTGTCTTGGTTTCCCTCTACCAATGTTCCATAATTCACATAATAATAGGGTGAAGGAAACATAATACCAACTTCGTCTACTATCTAAAATCAAAGGCTTTCTTATTCCGACAACCCTGGAAATGGCGGTTCATGCTTTCATCACGTGTAGGCTCGACTATTGCAATTCACTCTATTGTGGGATATCAGCTTCTCGTCTTCAGTCGGTCCAAAACGCTGCGGCTAGACTTATTTCCAACTGTCGCTAATATGACCACATCACTCCAATTCTTAAATCTTTACACTGGCTACCTGTCCGGCAGAGAATAGATTTTAAAGTCCTACTATTTGTCTTCAAATCGCTACATCACCTAGCCCCAGCCTATCTCTCCGAACTTATTCATCCCTATACTCCGTCCAGAAGCCTAAGATCTCACGACCAGTCCCTCGTGTCAGACTTCAGCGCAGAGGGGAGCGTGCTTTTGCAGCCTAGAGATTCGAACGGCCCCAAACCTGTCTATTTTTAAGTCTTTGGTGAAAACCTACCATTTCTCTTTAGCATACTGATCTCCTTTTAAGTATTTTATTATGTTATAATTGGGTCTCTGACACGGCTACTTGTAGCTTTGCTGCTTTTTATGTGTGATATGCTTATTTTTGCTCTTATTTCTGTGTTCGGTAAAGCACTTTGGTCTGTCTAAGCGGCTGTTTAAATGTGCTCTATAAATAAATGAACTTGAAGGAAACATAATACGCAAAAAAAAATTAATGGTCCAAAAAATAGGCTTAGTTTTCCTTATGCAGAATCAGATATTTTTATTTTATTCTGATTTTGAAAATGGGATACGGACACACTCTTGACAGTAACAATCACCCATCTGTTATCAGCCATGAACAGAAACAACAACATGACAGCATCACGCATGCATCCGAGCATCATCCATAGGGGAATATGAATCCATCGAGCATGGGGTCATAAGTCAGCGGGATGAAGCGTGGCATGAGGGCGGGTGAGGGAACAACACACGCTTGTGACGCGCCACTGGGTGATGGGAAGGGTTGACACACACTGAGCTTTACAAACCGTGGCTTGGTTTTGACCCATTAGGTAGTAGCAGGGCTCGCCCAACTTATCATTCCTCAGACAGGCAGCGAGATGCGGACCCATCATAGCTGAGGAGCCCGGCCGAGAACAGAGAGAGAAACAGGGGTGAATCAAGAGAAACTCAAGAGCTCATTCTCCACATCAGATATTACCCATCTGCACTGTCTCCATCCATCGGGTTCATGAGCTGCTGTACAGCACTATTATTGAACCGAAATGAATCAACATACAACTGAGACTTCTGTAGAGCTGCTGCTTTTATCTATTTCATTATACAATGAGCTCCAGTAAAAGAGATTTTACTTCTCTACTGGTTAAATAAAGGTCATTAAACGAACTTTACACAGTTATTGAACTGAACTGAATCAACACTGATCTGAATAATGACTTCTGTAGAGTCTCATATTCAAGTCCTAACTTCAGACTTCTCAATAGAGACTTATTGATCACCAGGAAGAACCGATACCTAACCCTAACAGTGGAGAACCAGAAGAGGGGACGGCTCAGATGAAAACAAGATCTCCCGCATGGATACGCACCGTACTCTGGGACGGACCCGTCTCCTCTCTTCAGCACCAGTCGAGCTCGTCTTCCTCCGTTCTTGATCAGCTCGATGGCGCGGGAATGATTCATATTTTTTGTAGTTTCACCGTTGATCTCCAGAATTTCATCCCCGACCTGAAAGCAGGCGGACACCAGAGTGAGCTCGTGGGAGAGGAACATCAACAACTGGGAGCTTCGTGAAAATGTACATACACTGGTCAGAGACTCTGGACCTGTGCTGAACGCCCACACTGAGGGGTTCTGCTGTTCTCAGGTAAGAGGAAATGGAGAACATGTCTCTTGGCAGCCCTGATCTGAGATCAGCAGGCATTAACCAATGGAAACTATCAGTATTGATGGGTCTCTCAGTGCTGTGTTCCTCACTTCCAGCACTGACGTTTAGTAGAGCAGTCTGTCAGCAGACCGTAAAGCAATCGAGCGGCTCTTTCAGAGTCTGATGAAGATCATTGAGGAGTTGGAGGATTGCGCTCTGAGAAGAGCAGATCTCAGACTAACTGGGGAACTAAGGATTTCACACTCTTCATTTCATCAGTTTGTGTAGAAGAAATGCAGAAAGTTGAACTGCCTCCATTACAGTTTTTTACTAAACAGTAGATATCATAAACTATCCAAGTGACAGTTTGAGAGGAACAGTAGAAGTGTGTGTGTGTGTGTGTGTTACCCTCATCTTGCCGTTCCTGGTGGCCGCCCCGTCCTCGGCCAATCTCAGCACGTACAGGTCCATGCTGTACTCCTTCCCCCCTCGCAGACTGAAGCCGAAGCCTTTACTCTCCCGCTCCAGATCCACGGAGTAAAACTCTGCCTCCTGAACACACACCATCAACATCACCACACACACTCTTCTGCTGCACTCTATTGACCTGCTTGTCGAGTGGAACTACATCAGTCGCATCAAGCTTTGTTGTAATGAACTAATAAAGGGGGTTGATATATATATATATATTGAATGTCTCAGATGTTTCTCAGTTTGAATAATTTCACTTGCAACTTTAGATCCAAGAGATCTCACATGTTTCTTTCATTGCTGCATGTTTGACCTTATACACACACTGAGATCAGAAAACACACTAAGCCTGCGTGCATCAATCATACCTAATCAAACTTTGAGTTTGTGCAGTTTGGGAAGTGTAAGAAATTCTCAAATGATATATGATGCGTGTTCACCTGCTTGTGAATTAAACACAAATATTTGACCTGTATATTTATGCCACATGATGTGCTGTCAATAATGTATCATCTGTGTCTGTGTGACATCACTTCATGCACTGTGAGCTGCAGAACAAACACTAAAGCAGAAACCACAAACACAGCGAGAGCGCCCTCACCTGACTGTAGGCTGGCGGGTGAGCGTGTGTGTGTGTGTGAGTGTGTGTGTGTGTGTGTGTTTTGGTGCAAGAGCGCCCTCACCTGACTGTAGGCTGGCGGGTGAGCGTGTGTGTGTGTGTGTGCGCGTGTGTGTGTGTGTGTGTTTTGGTGCGAGAGCGCCCTCACCTGACTGTAGGCTGGCGGGTGAGCGTGTGTGTGTGTGTGTGTGCGTGTGTGTGTGTGTGTGTGTGCGCGTGTGTGTGTGTGTGTTTTGGTGCGAGAGCGCCCTCACCTGACTGTAGGCTGGCGGGTGAGTTAGCGCCGGTTTGGGTTTGTTATTCCTGTTGGACAAACACAATGAAAATCATGTTACTGATGATCTCCAATGAATATCATTACTACATCAGTGCATACAAACACATATTCCACAGACAATAGTGAAGTGTGTGTGTGTGTGTGTGTGTGTCACCTGGGCTCTGTGCTGCTCTGAGGCGAGTGTGTAGTTGTGATGGTGGCGATCTTCTCTGCGTTGGTCAGTAATGAGGCGTTTGACGTCTCTATTCGGTCAGAGAGAAAGAGAAACAGTTATATGAATTATAGCTTGAAATCAAGACAGTTGTACTGTTGACCAACTTCAGCTTTGATGACTGCAGTTCCGGCGCTCTCTGTAGCGTTTCTTAAGTTATTGCTTCAGAAACTGAAGAAAATTTGACATGTTTTTGCCAAGGTGCCCGAAACACACAGATCAGTCTGTCACTAGGAGCCATTCCTACACTGATCAAAGCTTTACATCAGTGTCTCCAGCACTGCTCCTGTCGTACTCCAACACTGACTACATACTTACTATTCGAGAATTCTACATCAACATTTCCCATAAAGGTAAACTGAATAATCTCTGGATTTAGATTCTAGGCCATAAAACACCCAGCGAGACCCAGCGAGAGACCCAGCGAGAGATCCAGCGAGACCCAGCGAGAGACCCAGCGAGACCCAGCGAGACCCAACAAGAGACCCAGCGAGAGATCCAGCGAGACCCAGCAAGACCCAGCGAGAGATCCAGCGAGAGACCCAGCGAGACCCAGCGAGACCCAACGAGACCCAGCGAGAGACCCAGCGAGAGACCCAGCGAGACCCAGCGAGACCCAGCGAGAGATCCAGCGAGAGACCCAGCGAGACCCAGCGAGACCCAACGAGACCCAGCGAGAGACCCAGCGAGAGACCCAGCGAGACCCAGCGAGACCCAACGAGAGACCCTGCGAGACCCAGCGAGAGACCCAGCGAGACCCAGCGAGACCCAGCGAGAGATCCAGCGAGAGACCCAGCGAGACCCAGCGAGACCCAACGAGACCCAGCGAGAGACCCAGCGAGAGACCCAGCGAGACCCAGCGAGACCCAGCGAGACCCAGCGAGAGACCCAGCGAGACCCAGCAAGACCCAACGAGAGACCCAGCGAGAGATCCAGCGAGACCCAGCGAGACCCAGCGAGAGACCCAGCGAGACCCAGCAAGACCCAACGAAAGACCCAGCGAGACCCAGCAAGAGATCCAGCGAGAGACCCAGCGAGAGACCCAGCGAGAAACCCAGTGAGACCCAACGAAAGACCCAGCGAGAGATCCAGCGAGAGACCCAGCGAGACCCAGCGAGAGATCCAGCGAGAGACCCAGCGAGACCCAACGAGACCCAGCGAGAGACCCAGCGAGACCCAGCGAGAGATCCAGCGAGAGACCCAGCGAGACCCAGCGAGACCCAACGAGACCCAGCGAGAGACCCAGCGAGAGACCCAGCGAGACCCAGCGAGACCCAGCGAGACCCAGCGAGAGACCCAGCGAGACCCAGCAAGACCCAACGAGAGACCCAGCGAGAGATCCAGCGAGAGATCCAGCGAGAGACCCAGCGAGACCCAGCGAGAGATCCAGCGAGAGACCCAGCGAGACCCAGCGAGACCCAACGAGACCCAGCGAGAGACCCAGCGAGAGATCCACCGAGACCCAGCGAGACCCAGCGAGAGATCCACCGAGACCCAGCGAGACCCAGCAAGACCCAACGAAAGACCCAGCGAGACCCAGCGAGACCCAGCGAGACCCAGCGAGACCCAGCGAGAGACCCAGCGAGACCCAGCAAGACCCAACGAGAGACCCAGCGAGAGATCCAGCGAGACCCAGCGAGACCCAGCGAGAGACCCAGCGAGACCCAGCAAGACCCAACGAAAGACCCAGCGAGACCCAGCAAGAGATCCAGCGAGAGACCCAGCGAGAAACCCAGCGAGAGACCCAGCGAGAAACCCAGTGAGACCCAGCGAGAGATCCAGCGAGACCCAGCGAGACCCAGAGAGACCCAACGAAAGACCCAGCGAGAGATCCAGTGAGACACCCAGCGAGACTCACCGTCTCCAGGGATGATGCGAAGCGTGACCGCGTGACCCGCCTCTTTGATCAGGTTGACAATGTCCGAGTGTGATTTGTTGGTGATGGAGCAGCTGTTGACCGCTAGGATCCGATCGCCCACCTTCAGCTTTCCACAGCGGTCCGCCGGACTGAACTCGATGATACGACCAATTTTATGAGGCATTGACACGCATGTGTTTCCAGCTGAGGTCCAAGAGACAGAAAAAGACGAAAAATTAGCCAAAATTTAGATATCAGGATTAGCAGAATGAAATCTCAGTGACCTTTCAAGAGATTTGTTCATTTTCAGTTCTTACACCAAAATAATTCGTTGACCATTTCTTAATATCAAGTCGACAAATGTATTTACTTAATACAAATGTATGTGCTTTATTAAAATGTGTACCTAATCAACTCAATAAATGAATAAAATAAGTCTAAATAAGTGGTTCAGATGACCACAGCTAGTTTATTTGTTGTTGTTTTGTTTTTTGCGTAATTAACATTTTAATTGTTTTGTCTGAAATGTTCACATTAATAAATCTTGGATTTTGTTAAACGTGGAGTGGTCACACTTTATTTTGATAGTCCACTTTAGACATTCTACTAAATATAAGTAACTTTACAGCTACAAGTCATCTTATTCTCCTAACCCAAACCCTAACACCTAACAGTCGACTACAGCCTACTTATACTCTAATGAGAGTTAGTTGGCATGTAGTTGAAAAGTTACTTTTAGTTAGTAGAATGTCACCGAGTAATCTTCCGTATGTTAAATATGAATATATAAACAAGTGTATGTGCCAGCCGCGGCGCTACCATTGGGCCTGGGTGGGCCTGGGCCCACCCATTTTAGGTCCGGGCCCGCCCATTTTGAGCCAGGCGGGTAACTCCTATTACCGTCTGCAGAGACCTCGCAGGCGTACGGATTTTCATTCTCAGATCATCCAATAAGCAGCCAGAGGAAAACTTTGAGTGAAAGCTTCTAAACCAATCAGCAGCTTCTACCTCACGTGTGGACTCTTAAGCCTGCCCACAGGCTGCATCGTCACCAGCAAGTGATCCAATGAAATGAATGACGTTGGCGCGCAAGATTTTCAATGAGACAGAAACAGTCGGTAGCTATTAGCTAAAATGAAGCGTAATATGGAAAAGCAAAGCAGCTTGTTTTCATTTAAATTTAGCAATAAAAAAATAAAAAAAACGCTCCGAGGAGCAGGAGGAGGAAACTCCTGCCATTTTTAGTAACGCGGTTACTTCAATGAAGAGTTACCATCCTGCTCGGCCGCCCTCTCTGCATCAAGTCCTCCCGTAACCAACGTATAATTTTTTGCTCATGAATGTGACACTGTGACAGATCGGATGTGTTTGTGACCATGTAAACAGGAAAAAAAAAACGCATGCATTCGGCTATTTCGAGATCGGTTTCAGGCCTCATTCATATGTGGAAATAAATTGGAAATGAATCAGATGTCAATGCATTTAGACCACTTCTCCGCGGTTTAATGACGAGAGCCGACGCGCATCTGCAAAGGGATGGATTGCCCGACAAAACGCCGTAGAGAAAACGTGAATGTTTGTGGACAAACGTTGACGCATATCAACATATCAAAAAGGTTGGCTTGCTCTTCCTAAAATTTCGGACCCACTGCTCCTCGTTAAAGCCTATATTTAAACACAATATGCTTCCACCAGTCCTGAGATTTCTCTCGCACACAATAACTGAGCGCATGCGGCCATGCGCAGGCAGCAATGATGGCACTTTTCGTCGTCCTCCTCCTCAAAATCATGGTAATGTTTGGAAAACTTCGCATAAATTGCAGATTTAGCATCAAGCATGTTTCACGTTCGTCCATCTGTAAAAAAGAGAATTTAACCCTTTAAGCTAGGGTGACCAAACGTCCTGTTTTCCCAGGACATGTCCTGTTTTCACGTCTTGTCGTGGCTGTTTTTTATAAAGTGATGAAAATGTCCTGGTTTTAATTATTTTTCATTGGGCCATTTAAAAAGAAAAACATGAAAAAGAGGAAGAAGAAACCTAAATATATAAACAACTTTTGTTAGTTAGGTTTTTGTTAAGTTTGTGAGAGCTATTTTGGTTCAATTTGGAGGTAGGCTATTTTTTATTTTTATTTATTTATTTATTTATTTATTTCTAATACAGAAGAGACATTATTTCTATCATTATTTTTGAAACCTGTCATAATAAAACATGTTGAGTAGAGTATAACCTCTGAGAAGCCTATCTGAATTTGGTCTTTGGTTATAGATAGTATTTTGTAATGTAACCATTTATATCCGGAGGCATACCCTATTAAATTATTGAAATTAAGGCATCTTTGAGTAAACTTCGAGTATCATTTGAGTATCTCATTGCCGGGCCGATTGTCCTGGTTTTTGATAATCAAAATATGGTCACCCTTTAAGCAAGCGCGATGTTTTTAGATATGGCTATATGGCAAGTGTAAACACATGACTCGGATAAAGTTGAAAGAACGTGTAAACGGACGGTAAAAAAAAAAAAAAAATCGGAGAAATGTAACAAATTAGAATTGGGCATCAAGACCTGCAGAGTAATCGAGGCCTTTTTTTTCAGAATAATAACAATTTAACTTTTTTATTTAATCTAATTATAGGCATATAATTTTTACCACTCTCCACGCCTCCCATGGCATGCTCTGGCTCCCCACTTTGGTTAGATATGTTGTTCATTTAATTATTTCATGTTGGTACAGTTCTTCTATCATTCTGAATAAATAAAAAAAAAACAGTTAAATAATTTTGTATCGTTTTCCTGCTGTTTTTGTTTAGCAGCTGTCAGATTCAGTGCTGCTGTTATTTCATGTCGATAAAGTTCTTCTGTCATTCTAACTTTATAAGAAACAGTTAAATAATTTTGGACAGTTCCCTGCCCGTAACTGGAGAGAGAAACAGAGACCCTCCAAAGATATAATTCCGTTTCAGTCTTTTTGTGTATTAAACATTCAAAAGAGATAAATCAAGTTATAGGCTTACTGAGTCGCTGTCCACAGTGCCGCAGAAAAGCGCTGAAACGGATATGAAGGGGATTTTTTTTTTTTTTTTTTTTGCCTTACGGACGGGCCCATCCAGTTTTCTGAAGGCCCACCTACAATCAAAATCCTGGCGCCGCTAGTGGTATGTGCACAGTACGGATACCTGCGCTTTGCATCCGCTTTCTGCTGATTGCAGAACGAGACTAACTCGCATGCTAAATGACCCGGTCATTTCATTCACAAACAACATGTCATTCACTAACACACTCATTCATTTCATTCACAAACAACTTGTACCAGTTCATTCAATTCGTTCACGAATGAGATCTTTCTCATTCTGACTCAAAACAGTGACTCGGTTAGTGATGGGCGCATTTGTCCAGTAGATCTAACCAATCACATGCCCCTTCAGAGGTGGTTGATATATTGTGGCAATGATATTTTGTACATTTTATACCATAAATATATATAAAAAATATATTTTGTGAGTGGATGCAGCAATAGAGGACTTCATCTGGACAACTTTAAAGGTGATTTTCTCAATATTTAGATTTGTTTGCACCCTCAGATTCCAGATTTTCAATTGCAGTGAATAAGACACATGCCTTTGGTGTGAGAGACCCGGGTTCAAATCCACTGTTAGACACCAATGTGTCCCTGAGCAAGACATTTAACCCCTAGTTGCTCCAGAGGCATGCGACAGCTGACAATTGTAAGTCGCTTTGGATAAAAGCGTCAGCTAAATGAATAAATGTAAATCCCGTGTGTATTCTGGGAGCTTTTGAGTATCAACCGTGATTGTGAAATCCCCTGATGGAGTGAAGGATCTCACCGAAGGTGGTGTTCGCATCCGGCCTGGACACAGAGGACACGATGACGAAGCCGAAGCCCTCGCTCTCGGTGCGCTGGATCTCCACATCGTAGGGTTGCAGGGCCGTGACCGTACTCCCACTGCCACCTCCACCACCACTGCCGATGCCACTGGTGCTGCCGGAGCCTGAGCTCACGGTGTTCAGCGAGTTCTGGCTGCCCTGAGGCGTGCGCTTCTCCTCGGTGAGCGACGGAGCCTGTGTGCTGCTGTGGTGAGAGGAGGCCGGAGACGGGGGAACGTCCCCCTCGCCCTTATAACCTGCTGACAGAGAAAATATCAGAGAGACCAGCAGAGGAAAGCAGAGAAACCAGCACATACTATATGCCTATTCAGACAGGAAGTGCTTCTGACAGGGACGGGCAAATCTATGGGGAGAAAACACTGTTCGGATGACCATTTATTCCAGGTGGAGCAACAACAAATTTAATAAATCCTATTTATTATTAAATAAAATTTGGCATTTATTATATTTCTATGGTGTTTGATGGTATTTGTACAGCTGTTATTTTATTTGTTCTGATATTATTATTTACATTTTTTACTGTGAAGTACTTTGTGACCCTTCCTTGTCTGTGTTATATTGTCGGTGTTGTATAAATAAACGTTACTTACTTATTAACTATTATTAATTCATTTAAACATCCTATTTATTATTAGAAAAATCAACACACAATGGTTCAAATGTTTTTGCATTCTACTGTCGTTTTTGCGTTCAAGCCATGTTGGAATAACTGTAATGACAAGATCACATTGTAACAGCCAAGAACTTAGTGGGTGATGCCACTACCATGCACTAGGGGGCTCTATGTTGCATTCCTCATCTTCTATGTAGCCAGGTAAGAGGAGAGAAAAAGTTAGTTTTTCCAGAGCGAAGAGCTGGTCTGAGATCCTGAGGTTTGTGTTCTGTCCACATCACACAGAGCGCGAACGGGATAGAGAAAAGCCACGGCTGGGTCTGCCTCCTCAAGGGGCAGCGCTTGCAGGTTCACCACCTGGTGCCAGAAGGGAGTGGTAGGAACCTTGGGCACGTATCCGGGCCAGGTCTCAGGATAATGTGAGAGTTGGCCGGCCCGAATTCTAGGCACGATTCTTCGACTGAAAATGCACGCAGGTTCCCTACCCTCTTGATGGAGTACAGTACTCTTGGAGGAGTACTGATTGCAAAGGCTCGAAAGGTGGTCTCTGCAGTCCGGTAAGCACCAGAGATAAGTCCCAAGAGGGTACTGAGAGTGGACAAGGCAGATTTAGTCTCCCCGCCCCCCTCAGGAACCTGACGATCAGGTCTTGCTTCCCCAGTAATTTACCTCAACTGCATCATGATGTGCGGCAAATGCGGCAACATCCACTTTAAGGGTGTAGGGAGACAGCCTTTACTCAAACCCAGCTTGCAGGAAGGAAAGCACTACCCTGATCGAGCAAGTTCGGGGGTTCTTCTCCTGGTGAGAACAACACCACTCAATGAACAGGTTCCACTTCAGTGCATAGAGGTGCCTCATAGAGGGTGCTCTCGCAGAAGTGATGGTGTTTATCACCGCTTGAAGTAGGTCACCCAGAACCTCTGGATCCCGTCCAGGGACCGGACATGGAGTTTCCAGAGGTCAGGACGTGGGTGCCAAAAGGTGCCCCGTCTCTGAGAGAGCAGGTCCTCTCTCAGAGGAATGGGTCAGAGAGGGGCTGTCACGAGGAGCACTAGGTCGGGGAACCAGGTCCGGTTGGGGCAATACGGGGAAATGAGCAAGAACTGCTCCTCGTCCTCCCTGACTTTGCACAAGGTCTGTACAAGAAGGCTCACTGGGGGAAACACATACTTGCATAGGGCCCTTGGCCAGCTGTGTACCAGTGAGAATGTGCCGAGGGTGCCCTAGGACAGGAAATAGAACAACTTCCAGTGGGACCTGTTTGGGGCAGCAAACAGATCTACCTATGTGGTCCCGAAGCACCTACAAATCAGCTGGACCAGCTGGGGATGGAGTCTCCACTCTCCCGGTAGCACCCCATTGAAACGAAGGGTCTGACCATGGGCTGAGTGTTTGGCGACAGTGGGGGGTGATGGAAACCCAGCACAAGCCGCGTTGCCACGACCATTTCGGGACTCAGTTGAGAAGCCAGTGCTGAACCGGCCTCTCGTGAAGCAATCCAAAGCGGCATCAAAACGGCTGCGGACTCTATATGCCCCAGGAGCCTCTGAAAAGGTTTCACTGAATTGCATAGCTGAGTCTGATGGTACGGATGAGCCAGTTGGACCGGCTGGGACCGGTTGGAGCCAGTTGGACCGGCTCCCAGGCACCGAGAAAGGGTCTCGGCGTGGCTCCCAGGCACCATTGGTCATGGGAGCCACGCCGTACCTGCAGTGGTGGAGGTAGCCTGCGAAACATTGAGCGTGAAACAAAGGGCCACAGTGATTCATGAAAAAAGGATGGTTCCACCGCTGGAGGACTGTGTGCTGTGAGTGTGTTTGAAAGCTTCACCTGTGTAAGTGGTCTTTCGCCGCACGCTCAGGTTGACGTGCCCCTGTTTGGCCGCCTGTTGCATGAGCTGCACCACCAGCTGATGAGATTTGCCCACCACAGCGGTTCCGTCCACACAGATGAGCTCATCTCCAGACCGCAGCCGGCCGTCCTCGTCCGCCGCGCCGAACTTCACGATGTGCCCAATGTAGATCTGGAGCACACACACACACACACACACAGACAGTCACACACCGCCTACAGGGAATTCTGGATCGTGTCGATTACAATTAAACTATCAGAAAATTATGAGTCAAATCAGCTGGGCTTATGTTTATATGTAGCAGAGTAATATTTTTTCCTGGGTTGACTGGGACAGACTTCTAGTATCACTGGAAAATTAAGATTCTGATGTCAAATTTTTTTATCGATTATTGTAAACGAAAATTATAGATCAGGTACTGATACCATCACCAATATTTTTACAAGAAACACACAGTTTGGCCTGTTTATTCATGAAAGGTCAGGAACAATAGATTATGTTTTCTGTGCTCATGCAAATCAGAAATTCACATTTATCTGTAGTCATCATAAAGAATCATGCTGAGATCTATTTGATGAGGAAAACAGATGTTTGCGACGGAATGCATGTTCATTTGTACGGATGTTATCATCCGACTCACCGGCTCTCCGGGTTCATTTCCGCCCAGGATCCGAAAGCCAAAGCCTGTGTCTTTCCTCCAAAGGAAAATGTCTTGTTCTTGAGAGTCTGGCACTGGACAAATAGAAAAAAAATAAATCAGTTTCTTTGCAAGAAATTGGAGGTGTGCAGTATTAATATATAAGCCTATCACGATATAGTTATTTTGATTGGTTTATATGCTAAACAACCCAGCGGAAATGTCTGTTGTTTGATAAATTACTTTAGAACTCAACGGTAATTGGTCACATGTATTTTCTCTTTTCATTTGGGATTTTATGAATGAAAACTAAATCAAACACTCCATGTAAATATTATGAAAAAGATTCACTAACTGCCATGCAGAAATATCACTACTATGGTATAAACTGTAACTGTAAGCCTCTATAACAGTCTTCCACCATCAAAAAGCACGTGTATATTTTACTGCTGTTGTTAGTAGTTAATACACATGACGAAAAGCAGAAATGCAGACAGGTAAGGATTCACGGTCAGACTAAGCCTCGGCCGGTCAGACGTCTGCTTCCCCACACAGAGAACAGCATCATGTAAACATGGAGCGTTTATCTGCCCTCGTTTAAAAGGTCTGGATGAGCCGAGCTGCTCCATGTGGAGTGTTTAACAGGCCTGACTGGGATCTGGCACTGGGATCTGGCACTGGATCTGGCATGGGAAGGCCGGAGTGCACATGGACATCTCCTCAGGTACATCTGCTCTCTCATCAGACGCCACAGACACATACGAGACATGATGAGTTTCAGTTTACTGCCAGACCTCTCATCACTGCTCTTCAAATACACCCTGGGTAACCCGGAGAACTGCTTTATTATGAATACTGTACACAATAATGAAGATATTTTAACAGCAATATTTTCGATGCATTTTTAATAGGCAGAACCGATGATCAGCTTGATTTTCCGATCAAGTATGCAAGTGGAAGCTATCAAACGCCATACCGCTCAATTTGAGAAAAATTTGAGAAAGATGTGCCAGAGAAAGTAGGCAAGCAGTGTTGAAGAGGAAACCGGAGTAGCATTAGTACTAGGGATGCACCGATACCGATACCAGTATCGGGTATCGGGCCCGATACCAAGCTCATGTACTTGTACTCGTACTCGTAAAAATACCCCGATACCAAAGACCGATACCTCACGCGACGTAACTTTCCAGTGCACACAGAGACACCAGATGCAATGTCAGCCTCAGCAGTGTGGAAATATTTTCAAAATCAATGATGACGACCCACGCATGGCAATCTGCACGATTATTTCTGCATTAATATCCAGAGTAGGGCTGCACGTTTTCAAGTTTTTCATTAACCGTTAATACTCGGTTAACCATAGTGTGAGCGCTGCAACGTCGAGATACAGAGTTAATTTTTAAAACCTTTAATAACTGGTTGGACCCCATTTGAAACGAATTAATTTATAGAAATAAAACGCAGTGATAAGTACAGAGCAGTTAAAGTAGGCACATTTCCATCACCATTCAAACTGAAATTGCCAATTGAAAATAGCCTACAGAAACAAGTCCATTTCGCAAAAACTCAGTGTCCGCAAATAAATATTTATGATCATCATCATTATTGTAACATTTTATTAGGCTGCATATGTAGACGCCTTTATCCAAAAAAGGAACAAAGCACAAATAAACACAATATTTTGACGCATATCCAGTGTTTGTGCTTAGTGTGGAGCGTGCACTGATGGCTGCGAGACGCCCATGTGAACACTTGCAGTTTCATTGCAGTTCTTTCAGTGGAAACAACTTAAAATACTCTTTGATTTCTGGTCATACAGAAAATAATAATACATTATTGACAAATACATTTATTTGCGTAAACTCACAATAACAAGAAAACGTTGTGCTTTAACAGCAGGCGCGCTTCATGAATCATGATCTCCGTGAACTGAAGCGCGAGAACTGAAACAGCCGCATTCGAATTTGTTCGTTTTAAATTGGACATTTAAAGCTTTAGCTTTAAATGTCCAATTTAAAACGAACAAATTCGAATCGAAAGCCAATATCTTCTGATGTAATTATGTAGCCTATAATTATGTATTTCTCTCTAAAGGTGGATCCGGGGATGGAGATTTGTTTTTAGCAGAAACTGATTTAGAAAACAATAGTTTATTAACAAACAATTAATGTCTCGTTATTTTATATTATTTTATTATCAGACACATTTATTATATCTTATAAATCATCTATAAATCTCCTTTCTGTAGGCTAGTTACGGCTCTACTCATTCATTACTGCGGGAAAATATCATTTCCAGGTTCTAATTTGGCCTCAGAAAACCAGTAAAATCTTTTTTTTTTCATATTCATTTGCCAAATATTTTAAATGTTTAAATGGGCAAAAAAAATCAAACAAATATCTGAAAATTCGTCGATATGTATAGCCTATCCTATATATTTTTGCGCAGCATTTGACGTAGTCCTACAGTTCAAATGAACATTTTGGTGTTCAACTTTGCGTTTTACAAAATAACCATTCATTTTTCGTTTTGCAATTAGGCCTATGGATTAAATAAGGGGAGACGAATGAACACAAAACAAGTACACTGACCGTTTGGACATAATACGAGGCAGAGTTCTTTTTTTTTTTTTTAAATCATAAAAGATTAAGGAATAGCCTACTAGACAAAACCTCAAAGAAATGCCAAAATCAAGACCTCGGAGCAGAAATGAGGGAGAAACACAAAGAAACTCTGTGTCTTTGCCTGCCATTAATGCTTGGATGACACACGACGTCTCCTCACATAAATAATAATAGGCTAATGTTTAGTGCGGTGGTTGTGATATAGACCGTTGCCATTATTTTTGGAATGACTTATTGCGAAAGAAAAAAAATGCTTTAGTCGCATAACATCTTTAATAGAAACGCTGTCATTTCACAATATTTTTTTATCGACATTCAGAAGAAAAAAAACGCAAACGTTTTGTGCAAATGTATTGACGCCACAATTTTAAACGGTTAATCGGCTAACCGGTTTTAACCATTAACACCCCTAATCGAGAGGAGGTACAAAAGCCAGTATAATACAAGTAACTTGATAAAACATCTGAAATTTAAATACAAAAGTGAGCACGGTGAATTTGCCACTAGCTGTAGCACTCTGCAACAAACTTTGCAGCAAACCTTTTCAAGGCAAGAGAAAATGTCAAAAGATAACCCAAGAGCAATAAAAATAACAGAAATGCTTACCCAATTCATTGTTCTTGACAATAAACCACTCTAAATTTATTGGTTAAAGTTTGTTGTTAAAAAAATAAAGATGCTTATATGTTCATTAGTCTCATTGTGTTGTTCTTAGAAAATCAGGCATCGGTATCGGTATCGGCGAGTACCAGGAAAAAAATATCGGTACTCGTACTCGATCCTTAAAAAGTGGTATCGGTGCATCCCTAATTAGTACTCAGGCCGTGAGTGTCACCGGCTGTGAGATATCTCGTACACGGGTTGGCACACTTCCTGAAACGTTTGTCGCTCGCCATGATCAAATATCTTACTTCACAGTACCAGCACACAGTCCCGGAGACCAAAACAGGGTGACATGTTCTCTAAGCGCCCTCTTATACTCCCTGGTCACACAAGCGATGACAACATGACTGTCGCCGGCCAATACGATTGCCGTGATTATCAGTGTGTGTGGTCAGTCTACAGGTGTGCGGTCAGTCTACAGGTGTGTGTACAGGTGTGTGGTCAGTCTACAGGTGTGTGTACAGGTGTGTGGTCAGTCTACAGGTGTGTGGTCAGTGCGGTCACTCACAGCGGCTCTCATACATGCTCCTGGACTGCGCCCAGATCCTGAAGGGGTCCGGCTTTTTCTGCAGAGTCCCGTTGGTAGCGGGGGGGTCGAAGGGCGGCAGGACGGGCAGCGGCTGGGTGGGCGGAGGTGGGACGGGTGGAGGGGCTCCGGGGGCAGAGGAGGGCAGCAGGCGTGCGGGCGAGTCTGTGTGAGCGCTGCGGTGACTGCAGACGCTGTGCTGAGAGCTGCCCTGACTGTCCTTACGCTCCAGCTGCTGACACACACACACACACACACACACACACACACATAACCATTCTGCCAAACCACACATGTCATTTCACACGGTTTTCTTGTCTACAGGGGAGCACAGAAGGCTGAAGGCTCAAAAGCTCTAAACTGGCAACAATTAACATGCAGAAAACTGGCGAGTTTCAACACTAGCAGAGAACTAGACTTCTGGAGCCCAACCACAGCTTTCTGGCAGACGGGAATTCAAGATGTTCTTGATCAAAAAGCATTCGGTTAAAGGGATAGTCGGATGCAAACTCACTTTTATATGATGTTTGCATATAAATATGTCTTTTCAGTGTGTGGACACAACCACCATACGATGGAAAAATCCGACAGCCCCTTTAAAGGCAAAGATATCTCAGTTTTTTGCCTTCTTTTAGCAAACCCTTTCCCCCTTGGTTGAAAGCTGACATCATTCATGCACTTGCCAGTCATTTTTACTAGATATTTATAATGTCATTCCCCTAGCATGATATTGATTATTAAAGGCTAATAACACAGTCTGCAATGTCTGACCAAACAAGGTCTTTGTCAGGCCTGATTAGGACCTTGTTTGGTTGAAACATGGCAATTTTTTAAAAGTTTTTAGTTTTTTTTTTTTCAATTTCCAATGAAATGCAAAATTTGATGTTTTTTTTCTATTTATAAAAACAGCCTACGGCTAATGAACTATATGACTCTGTGAAATAATTGTTTATTCTGATAATAATAATTAATAAATGTTTGAATGAAATTCATTGAACATGGGTATCTTTAATAATATCTTTAGCCGTTATATAAAAAACAATAAGCTTCTGAAAGCCATGATTTACAGTGATTTTACCACAGTTATAGATCCATTTCCTTTGAAAGCTTGCTTGAGTTTTTGTGTTTTCCTGTGCAGCGCTTTGTGACTGTAACGCCAATCATCCACTCACTCAAACCTGTACTTCTCTCTGGTTGCAATATCTGCACCCTATCCTCACGTGACTCAGTTATTCTAATGATCAGAGTTAAGCATGATGATACGGTATCATATTATAATGTATTGGGATGCTTTTAAATGAACATTTATCCATTTAATGTAAAAGTTCTACTTTGGCCAAATTGCATTGCATTTTACTCCCTTCAAACACTGTCCATTGTTTCCATCACTGCTACTTACCGAACGCACACACACACACACATGAAATGAAATACGTTCATCCCAAGCAAAGGCAGGATATTGGCTTTATGAGTTAATTGTCATTTTCACAGCCGTTACACATCACACACCATCACCTGATTCATCCTGGTTAAATACTGCAGTAAACACTCACACTTCCTCCCTGTCAATATATTATATCAAAAATACAATTTTATTTACTTTTAAGTGTTAAGTATTTTTATTATATTATTCTTTACATATTTTACCACATGTACCTGTAATCTGAATGAACTGTAAGGAATTAGTTACCAGATTGTTTTAATCCTGATTACGTAACGCTGTTGAAGTAAAAGAGATGCATCTTACCAGTACTTTGGGACTCCTCTTGGGCTGCAGGACTCCTGAGAGAGGATGAAACAATTGCACATGTAAACTCAACACTGAGCCTCGAAATCTGCATTTTAACCTTCACTAAACAATGGCAATATAAATTTGCGGTAAACATACAGTACTGTGCACAAGTCTTATAAAGGTTAGTATTTTCACCCCAAAAACTGCTTTTGAGCCAGTTATTTATATCTTTTGGAGTAGTATGTCAGAAGGAAATACCAGTTGACATTTACACACATTCCTTTTGCTATTAATTGCAATAATCCAGTGATATTGTTGTATGTACAAGTCTCACCATCACCGAGTCTGCCTGTTTGTCTGCCTTGATTTACATCGAGAAACTGAGAAACCAAAACCCCTCTAGAGCGACTCGGTCACTAATGTTCCCTGAGAGAAGGGGGTAATCTGCTAAACGCATGGGGAAAAGTCCTTTTTCTCAGAATACTGAACACCTTTTATAAAATAACACAGTGCTACTGAACAACCATAACAGTGCAGAGACTACACAGCGGCGTAACCATGGGCGCCCCCCCCACATTTCAAAATCTAAGTTTTGTCCCCCCCCCACTATTTCCCAATGTAGGATTTGCTTTGCCTGCCTATCTCTGCCAGTTTAGAGTCTCCCAATTAATCCATTCTGCAACTTTTAAATACATAATTCAATTTTTAAAAACGGCCGGTAGGCTATTCTTCAGCTGCTTATGTCGTCAGTCGACCATGATCGTGGCATCGCGCACCACTCACACTCGCGCATCTAGGTGACACGGATAAATGTACGCATTATGTTCCTGGGAGATCTGTAGTTGCACGGGGGTGGAAGCGCACAAAAGTTCCAGAAATGTACAAAAGTGCCCTGGCCTTGAATGACAAGGTAAGGAAAATAAGACTAAACCAAAATTAAATAACCAAGACTTGATTGGTATTTTTCTCAGGAGATGTTTTGAGCATTTTACTTCAGACACTGGATTATCAGCAAACTGCCAAGAGAACTGCTAGCTGGCTAACGTTACTCAAAATAAACTAGCAATCTATTGAGTCAGCATATTTGTGTTGGATCTGTGTGGAAAACTTGAAATATAATTGCTAGACCTACTTTTAGCTACCAAGCAACATTTGATTTTATTTTTTAGTATTTTATAGTTAATGGAAATCAAATCAACCATTTATTTGAGTTAATCAGTACATGACTGTAATGTAAATGCTAAATGCCCTAATAAAACCTTGCAGTTTTTCACATATCAGGTAAGCCTCAATTTCTCCATTTCTTGCACAAAACTCTCCAGAAAGTGTCATTTAATGGTTTATTTTTCAAAAAAAATTTCCGGGGGGGCATATCCCCGGACCACCCTCGCATTTAACCGAGTTTGTTCGTTATCGGACTAGTGCGCCACACCTCTGTGTGTGTGTGATCAGTAATGCTGGTTTCAGAAAGCGTTAGCTTACCTCTCTGCACTAGCATGGTAACCTCAGTACCTCGAGGACACTTGCTGAGCAGATCCACCACCTGGTTGTGGCTCAAGCCCTGAACGCTCCTCTTGTTGACCTCCAGCAGGATGTCTCCCTCCTTCAGCCCTCGGCATCGTGGGTAATCCACGACCTGCTTCACCTTCTGCCCTCCACCCACCAGACTGTCGGCCATGGTGAAGCCGAAGCCTTTGTCTCCCTTCTCGATGTGGAGCGTGATGAGTTCGGGCTGCGTGGCGATGGAGGAGGCTAGCGTCGCCACATCGCTAGCGTAGCTGTCGGTCACTAGCAGAGCGCTGTCCGGCACGGGGGGGAACGGCACCGCCTCGAGACCCGACACCACTCCCGCCAGCGGAGCGACCGGCTCGAAGCCCTCCTGGCTGTTCACGATGATGGGCTCTTTGTCCAGGATGGCCACGGATGTCACCAGGCTGGTGTTGGGGTCGTCGGGGTCAAAGGGCAAAGGGTACCCGCGGCACAGTTCCAGCTGGACCATGGAGCCGATCGGGATGGACTGGAATATCTTCACCACCTGAGCATGAGTGTATCCCAACACAATGGTGTCGTTCACACTGACGATCACGTCACCTGAGGGAACACACACACACACACACACACACACGTGTTACAGGAGAAACATCACGAGCCGCTTTTAATATCCATTTAATTTTCATTTTAGTTCAAGTTTGAGGTTCATCTGACGTTTCCCACAGTTGACGGACAGAACCGTTACACTGAGACATCACTGATGCACCTGTGTGAGTTTCTGTCGCATATTTATGTCATTTATGGTTGAGCAATTACCAATATCACTGAACAACTCAATGACTCACTCATTGAGACATTTACCGCCACCTAGCGCCACTATTATTTAGAGAGAAAAAAAAAACAACTATTTAATATTCCCATATTATTATATAAACATTAAAGTGTCCAATAAAACTGGTTTTAGTTTTCGCTTCTGTTAACTATCATAACCCTGACCATCACAACAAGTTATGTTATGTAACATCTGAATTAGTTTTTTAACACATAAAGTGCTACTTCAGTGTGGGCGGGGCTTCTGCGTCGTGGCTCGTGATTGGTCGGAACAGAAACCCAGACGGAGCTATTCTTGCTTCACGTGTGATTGTATCACGTCTGGTCAGAGATTTCCTACAAGGGTCAAACCTGTTTCCATCTTCCCGTCCACAGCGGCCGGCCCGTCCAACACCAGACTCTTGATCTGCAGGAACTCGTCCGGTTCGTCCCCGCCGACCACAGTGAAGCCGAAGCCTCGTCGGCTCTTCAGCAGCTTCGTGCTTATGAACGTGCCCTTCAGCTCGGCGGGGTTACGGGTGAAGAACGGCTTTCCTCCTGCACACACACACACACGTGTACAACACACACATATACATGTATATAAGGAATGCTGATGTAGTCAGGCTGGGGCGTAACATGCACATGAACAGCAGTGAGTGCGAGCGTCTCACGTTTGGGCCCCGGGGCCTGAGGAGCCGACGGGCAGCTCTGAGGGTCTCTGTACGTCTCCAGATGACTGGGCACATAAGATCCGATCGCAGCTCCGGCAGACGAGTGCTCCTCGATCCATTCTGGCAGAGAGAAACACAACACGCAGAAAGATCAGACTGCGACACAAGCTTTCATGCGCTTCTTTATGAACAATCATCTAGCTCTGTCATAACTCTAGATGGGCCAGGCTGATGGCTCTTTAACTCAACTGATCACGTCATTATCTACGTGGCACAGCTGATTGCCATATCCATAACCGTGTCAATCTCTTTTACCATACCAACCTCCCGAGAGTTGTCATGACAGAACTGTAGTTAACAGGCACTGCTTCAATGTTGGACGAGACACTGCGTTGATGACGCTATGGGCAACGCCTCCACGTACACGGCGTCTGATAGGCTTATCCAATCACGGCCATCGCATTGACCGGCGACAGCAGAAGACGAGAGTGGAGTTTTCTCAAAGGAAAACTCACAGTTCGATCAATCAGGTCTCTCAAGAGCTCATCGTGCGTGCTCTTCGCCCAGACAGGCAACGCACAACGTTGTGTGTGTCATCAAGCATCAATATCTTAGACATGGATCCACACACTTCCTGAAGTGTTTTTCACAAGCCATGATTACCATTTGAAGCATACAAACAAAACAGTCCCTGAAGACGCAAAGAGGATGACATGTTCTCTAGGCGCCCCTTATATACTTCCGGGTCGCACCAATAGTGACGTCATAGGCTGTCGCCGGCCAATAGGATTGCCGTGATTAGATAAGCGTTTCAGACACCAGATCTAAGGGAACTGACTTATTGTTTTAGTATAATTTTCACAAGGAGAGACCATTTATCATATGATCATATATCAGTATTTCAGTATTGGAACAACGGCAGCATTCAGAGACGCTTCAACGGACATTTTGTGTAAATTCATGTACAGGATGGTGTTACAGTTCCCCACACAATGCTCACTGTGCAAATAAATCCTCCATCCGTGTGTTATAGATGAGGAGATGGAGGGACGCACCTCTGATGTAGCGCCCGCCTTCGGGCGACTGCTGCGCGTCGAGCTGCTTCTGCCGCCGGGCCTCCAGCAGAGGGTTCTCGTACTGCGTCTTACGGTGGATATGACTGACAGAGAGAGAGAGAGAGAGAGAGATCAGGCTTTAGAAATATCAAAGACTAGAACGACTTTTGTTGATTCTTTATTCTAAAGGATAAAATGCATGATGTCATCTGAAAGTTGGCCATTAAAGGGGTCCTATTATGCCCTTTTATTAAGTCTTGATTTAGGCTATATTACTTTTTGGGGTGTACCAGAATATGGTTTCATAAAACAACACTGCTTTAAACTCCCACATTTAATAATAAAGGCAATGTTTCGACCCTGCTGAGTCTTCTTCTTTTGCCCAGTCCCTGCCAGAAGGTGGGATGTGCACACAATTACTTTTATAAAAGATTGTACAAAAAAGAACATTGTTTTTTCACATATTTTACATTATTACTGCACCTCTCTCCCCAGTCTGGTTGAACATGTTGTTTATTTGCAGTTTCAATGAAGCCCTTCTTTCTGAAATATGAAAAGTGCTGTGATTGGTCAGCACCACGTGTCCCGCCCCTTCATAACCGCAGGCTCTACTCGGATCTAAATATTAACGATGATGTCGATTTCAAATCAATTCAAGTCCGATTCAGACTTAAGAATGTTAACAAGCACTGTCTTCCAGCGCGCCTCATCCAGGCCTCGACCTGCGTAATCCGTGGGAGGAGATTATGTAAATGAGGAACATTTTGACATCACAAGATCTGGACAAAATGAGTTGTTGCCCAAATGAGCCATTCGTTCTTGGAAAGGGGATTGAAAATATCTCTCTCAGGAGGGACTTTGTGACTTTGCAGATGTTGTTTATGCTCAAACAGACAGCAAAATATGCATCACATTAACTTTAAAGCAAGTTTATGTAAAAACTATGTGATCCATTTACATTTATTCATTTAGCTGACGCTTTTATCCAAAGAGACTTACAATTGCTGTATATGTCAGAGGTCGCACGCCTCTGGAGCAACTAGGGGTCAAGTGTCTTGCTCAGGGACACATTGGCGTCTCACAGTGGATTCGAACCCCCGTCTCTCACACCAAAGGCATGTGTCTTATCCACTGCGCCATCACCACCCCACTCCAAATGATCCAAATGGATAGAAGTTTTTATGCAATTTTAAAACATAAGTCTTAGATTCTGTGCAGTAACTGAAAGGAGTGTAGGGTTTGACACTCACTCAACGTAGTAGACTCCGTACACGGGGTCATCGATCTTCTCCCAGCCGGGCGGCAGCTCTAACACACGAGAACACACACAGAGAGAGACTGAGAAACACTTCGACAAACTGAGAAACACAGCACGAGAATGAGAGATACTGAGAAACACTTCCACAGACTGAGAGAGGATTGAAAGATTGAAAAGGCCTCAACCACCTTCCCAAATGCTAAAATTACCATCTCCTCACTGCTGGCCCAAAAAGACTTCCACCCTGAACACTATCCAGCGGGTGAATGCCCACCTCTCCCGCTCGTGTGCACTTAAACCCAATGTGCAGCTGGCACACCACCCCACCCTGGACGCCTCGTGCCTCTATGATCATGTCCATCTGTATGAGACAGCTGTTCCTGTCTTCACCAGGACCCCCACAACAGCACTCCCAGGAGCAACAGAGTCCAACAACCTCCACCCAGACCTGTAAGAAAGCACAGTGTACGCCTCCAGAAGACGACAGCACTTTCTCATGCTGAGACTGTCCCAGCCCTCGCACCCTCACATCAGGCCAGGCCAAAGCCCGTCCGGCCGACCCCTGCCCTCCACATACCCCGCAGGCCCTGGGCAGACACAGCTACACTCCAGCAGCACCAGTGCAAGCTTCATCAACAGAGCTCAGCTCATCTGCTCACATCTACTGTCATAGGTCAAAACGTATCACCAAACTAAGACCCCATGGACAACAAAGCCTTTATCATTTGTAAAATTCAAGGCCTGAGATCATCTACTTTTGGCCAAAAAAAAAAAAACCCAGATTTCAACTCAGAAATTAGAAACTCAAACATTATCATCCTGCAGGAGACGTGGAGCAGAGATGGAGCTACCGGCTGCCCCAGTCAGCCCACTAACCCCCAGTCAGACCACTAAACCCCAGTCAGACCACTAACCCCCAGTCAGACCACTAAACCCCAGTCAGACCACTAACTCCAGTAAGCTCCCCAGTCAGCCACTAAACCCCAGAGACCAAAACACCCAGTCAGCCCACTAACCCCCAGTCAGACCACTAAACCCCAGTCAGACCACTAACCCCCAGTCAGACCACTAAACCCCAGTCAGACCACTAACTCCAGTAAGCCTACTAAGCCCCAGTCAGACCACTAAACCCCAGTCAGACCACTAACCCCCCAGTCAGCCCACTAACCCCCAGTCAGACCACTAACTCCAGTAAGCCTACTAAGCCCCAGTCAGACCTAGGGGTGGGCGATATGGAAAAAATATCATATCACGATTTTTTATCATGATTCTTTTTCAAGTTGGTTTTAATATTTTGCAAGTGGCTGTTCATTACAGCCAAACTAATGTCCCTATGTTAAAAACAAAGCCTTAGGTAACAAAATAAAAAAGAAAGCCACACATTTAGGCCAGTGGCGAAGATAAAAATCTTTGTCATTATTTTCGTTGTTATTAAAAAAAATAAGACAAGATAAACATTACACAAATTAATATGCATATTAAATAAATAGTGCTTTATTTTTTCAGATGCAGTAGGTGTATTTAGCAGTAGCATTGAAGTAATTAAATGAACAAATATGAAATTAAAACACTACATAGACTTCACTGAATAAACTGATTCTTATGGGCTATATGCACGCATAAGTTCCGCATTTGACGCAAGGATGCTCGTCCATTTCCGGTTGTGTAGATTAAAGCGGAGGCAAACCGAGGAAAACGGGATTATGGCAGAGTCTTCAATATTTACTGTCCTCCCGTCTTTGAAACGAAACGTACATACGTTTAGATGTAATTTTATATATAGTTATGTTTATTTAATATAATTTTAAAAAGAAGCATAAACACAACGAGGGGTGTCTGTTTTATCTGTTTTTGTGACTAACGTTTCATTAGTATTACCATGGAGTATAAAATTCAATATAAATTCTCGGTATTGCATTGGACTCTATGATCGGCGGAAGTTATCTAACATCCTTAAACCTTTACCGGAAATAACGCCGTGCATAGAGCCCATTAAAGCTATATTAAACTTCTCAGACAGCGAGTGATTTTCTCCTTGTGTTTTTTTTGTTTTGTTTTATTAACACTAAAGGGATAGTTCCCTCAAAAATGAAAATTGTCTTAATTTACTCTCTCAAGATGTTTTAAGCCCGAATAAGCTTCTTTCTTCTGTTGAAAATAAAAGTTATTTTGAATAATGTGGGTAACTGAACATTTGCTGGTCCCTTATAGTTTTTTTTATAGGTTCTCTCCTGGACGTTAATGGGACCAGCAACTGTTTGGTTACCCACATTAAAAAAAAATTGTCTTTTGTGTTCAGCACAAGAAAGAAATTAATACAGGTTTGGAACAACATTAGAGTGAGTAAATAATGACGGATTTTTTTTCTAATTTTTTTTTCTTTTTTTTTTTGGAGAACTATCCCTTTAAGGACAAGCGGCAGTACTATTTACTGTATTCCTGTCGCTTTTAGACCAGCACGCGACGCGTTTAATATAGACGCATATTACACCAGATATTCTCTCAAATGTTTGCTTTTACTTTAGACATAGCCTGTTTATGTAAACATTGTGTGTATTTAACAGTATTAGCATAATAAGACTCGAAGATAACTTAGTCCAGTATTCAGGCGCTGTTTGACAGGCTTCTAGTGCCTGTGATTGTCGGGGGTTATGCGGTCAGGAAAGCGCACGTTAGAACAGCGCATCAGCGCGTGAATTAAATGTTTAACCGGCAAGGCTTATGCAAATAATGAACTTTTGTGTCCCGTACCTATTCCTTAACGTGTGATCATGTGTAGGCTACGTCGCGTTGTACAGTTGAGAGACGGAGGCGCCAGAACTGAACTGATAGAATGCACTATAACACGATACTACGATATTTCTTCAAAAGCAGATCGTGGAGACATTTTAATCGTCATATCGCACACCCCTAGTCAGACCTCTAACCCCAGTCAGACCACAGTAAAATAACCCTCTACTTAAACAGAGCAATGCCCAACCAAGAAGCATCTAAACAAACTCAGCTCCACTCACCAAGACACATGTATAGATGGAAACAAAACAGTAAAGATAAATATAAGTACAATTAGTCAACCCGTAAATTCAAGCCTATTAGATCAATTCCTTGCCACAATATAGTGAAGGTACAAACCCAACAGTAGACAAGCTGAACAGAACATTTGAGGTATCAGCAACATTATCCAACTTAAAAACCACAAAAACAAAAAGACCACATGCCACTGAGAAATGGTTTGACAATGACTGTAAAAGACTTCAGAACCCAAACCAGAAACACAATGAGAACATCCGTCATCATCTCGATCACGAAAAACTTAATATAGGAATCCTTTAAGAAAGAAAACAAAACAAAACCAAAAGTCAACTGAGGGAAATTGAAGAATCCGACCAGTTCTGGAAACACTGGAACACACTAAACAAACCCTACCATCCAGAACTAGCTATCCACAACGGAGATGTCTGGATTAAGCACTTCTCCAACCTCTTTATGAGATAAACAGAAATCAGGAACAAGTGCCCTGTATGACAAACTAAGGGTTTTAGACTACCAGAACCCACTGTCCAATTACACCAGCCCAACTATTAGACAGAATACACACCCGTAAATCTCAGGAAGCCTGTGGTGTCGATGGCATCCTAAATGAACTGAATACATACACAGACCACAAATTCAAATGATCCATTCTCAAGCTCTTCATTATCATCCTGAGTCGAGGTATATGCCCCAACATTTGGAACAAAGGTCGTATTACCCCAGTCCGTAGAGCCGGACACAGACAAGGCTCAGAGAGCTTTTTATGCTATATCCCAATCAGTTAGTGTTAGTGGCCACTGTATCTTTCACTTCACTTTATTATGCATGTTAGAACATCAAGGTAAAACAATATCAGAAACATTAATTTATTCACACACACACAAAGTCAGTATAACAATGTTTTAATGATCAAACCTGGCACGGGTGAGAAGAGAGACGTACCGAGATCAGCGTCCAGCTCTTCTGTGTGTACACCCTCTTCTCCAGAAGAACAAACACACAACACACACCAAAACAAGTATGAATATTTGATGAATATCATTTTGACAGAATGACAGAATAACAGGTGCAGGGTTACACACGCCAGTGCATGTGCGTACGCCATGGAGAAAACGGGTTTCGGAAGATTTCAGATTTCATTCAGGCTTTACCATATCATTAGCAAATGTGGTAAATGCTCTATGTGTTCACTGATCAAAGTTTACATGTGAATAAAAGCCTAAACTCAAACAGTTCATCATATGTGTCGCTACAGAAGACGGATTAAACTGCTCGACTCATATGGGCTAATTTTACAATCTCTTTATCAACGTTTTGAAGCGTCAGAGTTTTGGGTGAACACACTTTCAATAGAGGGACAGAGATTGCTCAGATTTCATCACCTCTTCATTTGTGTTTCAAACAGAAACAGAAGTCTTACAGGTTTTGAATGGCAAGAGCGTAAGCAAATGATGACAGGGTTTGTATTTCTGTGAGAACTATCCCTTTAAGGCTTGTTTAGAAACCTGCTTTCCTCAGATAATATTCAGATCTGTGTAATGAGCGAGGTCCGGCTGCAGATGAAGGACGTCCTCTGCTGGAGAGATAGTGAGTGTGAGTGTGAGTGTGTGTGTGTGTGTAGTGCAGTAATGAGGGCGGCCGCTTGATGAATGATTTTATTTTTCTCCAGTATCGCTAGCAAAGCATCAAACCGAGCCTCTGACATCCTGAAGTAAACTTCTAATCTCTCTGGATAATCCCGCAGCCAACTCTTCTTCCTCTCTACGCAATCTCAGGATTGGATGGACCAATATTTCCTCTTTCCCCTCTTTTAAGGAGAGAGAGGACAACAAAATCATCCTCACTGCTTAAGGACTCCATTTCATATTGTTTTTGACAGATTAAATGGATTAAATAATACCCATGGGACTCAGTGTGCGTGATGAATTTTTAGGATGACGAATACAAATAAATGCATACGAAAATTTCAGACTCAGTGTGCCGGGACCTTAAGCCTGGAGAAGACAGTCCCTGCAGAGACAGACACACCTTGCGAAACGCAGGCCTTCCGCTCTCTAGCCAGGCGTAGATTAGCTTTAGAAACACCAGACATCCGTACAGCAGAGAATGAAGTGTGTGCTAACTAGTCCTGGAGCATGAATGTTGGTCTTACCATCATCTTCACAGTCCTCCAGAGGTTTGAGCGGTTTGTCCTGACACCGAGGGTCAATCCATGAGGTCGTCTTTGTGTTGTGGCTATAAACAACAGCATCATTGGCATTAACATGATAAAATCATAAGTGATTAAGTGTATAATAATCATTTAGACTCTAATTCTATCAAACACATTAATGGTGACACTATTAGTCACTACACCAGGGGTCAGCAAGAGGCAAGTAAGTTTGGCATCGGGCCAAAAAAACATTTCGCCTGTAGATGGTGGGCCATGAAATAGTCAAACGATCATTGTTCGATGCCTTTATCAATCCCCACAGGGGAAATTCAATGTCCATCAGCATAAAGTGTGTGTTGATTACCAACAAACATTCTCACTACTATACACGCATAAAAAAGCACAAATAATAACAGTTAATAATAAATAAATAAAAATTATTTCAGAAATGAACTGAGGAAAATTGTAACTAGAATTGCCTGTCAGGCTGTGACCGTGTCTTTTGTAAGTGGTAGTGAGCTGTTGCTCTGTGGTAAATCCTGTAGTAGGACAGTCATTAACGAAAAGCCACACTAGTGCCTGTTGCCGACCCCTGCACTACACCATCAATAGTCATGCGTTCACCTTAATAAAATGTGTATGTGTGTGTGTGAATGATCTTGTACCATGATAACAGTACCATGGTATTCTCTGAAGAGTCTCAGACTACCATGAATATAGTCTTCACTCAGTAATAACTCACACCATCTTAAACCAGCCAAGACCAGCTACACTATATTACCATAGGTTTTAGGACGCCTGCCTCTACATGCACATGAACTCTAATGACATCCCAATCCTGATCCGTAGGGTTTGATGTGAAGCTGCTCCACCCTTTGGAGTTGTAACAGCTTCAACTCTTCTGGAACTGCTTTCCACAAGCTTTAGGAGTTTGTTTATGGGAATATTGACCAATCTTCTAGAAGCGCATTAGTGTGCTGCGGCACTGAAGTTGGACGTGAAGATTTCACGTCTCCGCTGTAATTCATCCCAAAACTGTTCTATCTGGTCGAGCTCAGGACTCTGTGCAGAGGGTCCAGTTCCTCCACACCAAACTCCTCATCCATGTCTTTATGGACCTGCTTTGTGCACTTGAACACAGTCACGCTGGAACAGGAACATCCACAAACTCTTCCCACAAAGTTGGGAGCCTGAAATTGTCCAAAATGTCTTGGTGTGCGGAAGGATTAAGAGTTCCTTTCACTGGAAATGAAAGCTTCAGCATAAGTTCAGCCAGGAAGACTAAATTACTACATCACCTACTACCTTCACATATATCCAATCATGTCTTAATACTTGCTGTGTAAAACATCGGTACTTACACATATCTGACTTCGCAAAGGCTGACCCAAATAATTACCTCAACCCTCCCCACCACCAGCATGGTCCTGTCTATACCTCTCGGCAGTCCTTCGTCTGTCTATACTTCCAGGGGGTCCTTCATCTGTCCATACCTCCCTCTATCCATTCTTCATACCTCCCGCCAGTCCTTCATCTGTCTATACCTTCCGGCGGTCCTTCATCTGTCCATACCTCCCTCTGTTAATTCCTCATACCTCCCGGCAGGCCTTCATCTGTCTATACCTTCAGGTGATCCTTCATCTGTCCATTCCCATTCCTCCCGGGGATCCTTCATCTGTCCATACCTCATACCTCCAAGTGATCCTTCATTTGTCCATACCTCATACCTCCCTGCAGTCTTTCATCTGTCCATTCCTCATACCTCCAGGTGATCTTCATCTGTCCATTCCTCATACCTCCAGGTGATCTTCATCTGTCCATTCCTCATACCTCCCGGCAGGCCTTCATCTGTCTATACCTCCAGGTGATCCTTCATCTGTCCATTCCTCATACCTCCCGGCGATCCTTCATCTGTTCATTCCTCCCTCTGTCCATTCCTCATACCTCCCGGCAGTCCTTCATCTGTCCATACCTCCCGGCAGTCCTTCATCTGTCCATTCCTCATACCTCCCAGCGGTCCTTCATCTGTCCATTCCTCATACCTCCCGGCAGTCCATCTGTCCATACCTCCCGGGGATCCTTCATCTTTCCATTCCTCATACCTCCCGGGGGTCCTTCATCTGTCCATTCCTCATACCTCCCGGAAGACCTTCATCTGTCCATACCTCCCAGGGGTCCTTCATCTGTCCATACCTCCTGGGGATCAGCTGCACCCCTGCTGTCACCTTCAGGCAGAAAATGCAGATCCGCTACCCTCGGATTATGCACTACGGTCGGGGCCTACGCCAAAGAACTTTATAAATAAAGTTCCCCCTCCACCAAACAACCCCACACCATAAACCCCCTCCACCAAACAACCCCACTCCATAACCCCCCTCCACCAAACAACCCCACATTATAACCCCCCCTCCACCAAACAACCCCACACCATAACCCCCCCTCCACCAAACAACCCCACACCATAAACCCCCTCCACCAAACAACCCCACACCATAAACCCCCTCCACCAAACAACCCCACACCATAACCCCCCTCCACCAAACAACCCCACTCCATAACCCCCCTCCACCAAACAACCCCACTCCATAACCCCCCCTCCACCAAACAACCCCACATTATAACCCCCCTCCACCAAACAACCCCACACCATAAACCCCCTCCACCAAACAACCCCACACCATAACCCCCCCTCCACCAAACAACCCCACACCATAAACCCCCTCCACCAAACAACCCCACACCATAACCCCCCTCCACCAAACAACCCCACTCCATAACCCCCCTCCACCAAACAACCCCACATTATAACCCCCCTCCACCAAACAACCCCACACCATAACCCCCCCTCCACCAAACAACCCCACACCATAAACCCCCTCCACCAAACAACCCCACTCCATAACCCCCCCTCCACCAAACAACCCCACACCATAACCCCCGCTCCACCAAACAACCCCACACCATAACCCCCCTCCTCCAAACAACCCCACATTATAACCCCCTCCACCAAACAACCCCACACCATAACCCCCCCTCCACCAAACTTTACACTTGGTACAATGCAGTCAGGCAAGTTTTGTTCTCCTAGCAACCGCCAAACCCAAGACTCCAGCGATGTCCATCTAAAACCAGCTAAAACCAGCTAAGACCAGCGATGTCCATCCAAAACCAGCTAAAACCAGCTAAGACCAGCTAAGACCAGCTAAGACCAGCGATGTCCATCTTAACCCAGCGCAGAGCAGCTCGGGGTGTTTAGCTGTTGTCTACAGCAGGCATCAGTGTGTCTGTGTGTGTAAGTCTGTGAGTGTGTGTGTTGCTCGTACTCGATGAAGTACATCTCTCCGTTCTCCGTGAAGGCCGTCTCCCAGTTGTCCGGCAGCGGCCCGAGCGGGTCCAGGTCCGGAGGGAGTGGCGGGTGTGGCGTGTTGTTCAGCTCATATGTGGGGGCGTTTTCTCTGTTCTCTCTGACCGGGCCGTGAGCGTCCGGCCGGCTGGAGTCTCCTGTGCAAAGCAGGGGGGAGGGGAAGAGACTACGAGCTAAGAACTCTGGGTAACATACAGGAGGCGGTGGGAGAGACAGAACACTATTTATACTTCTATACAAAAGAACAGTCAACAAACAAACACACACACACACAAACACTCTCATTCACATTGACACACACACACACACACACACACACACACCTGTAAATGTGTTGTTCATGTCTGCGCTGCTGTCTGCATCCTCCTGCAGTTCGGTCTGCTCTACTCCTTCATGCTGCATGCGATCGCAGGACTTCTGGGAACTAATGAAACGGTCTCGCAGAGCATCATGGGTAATCACTGTCCTACTGAGAGGCTGGTTTGGCGGCTTGGGTGTCCCATAATAGTTACCTAGACAACCATAAACCCATTAGCATGTTTGAAAAGAAAGAGGGACAGAAAGCACTGCAGTGTGTGTTAGAGACATTTGTAAAACACACACACACACACACACACACACACACTCGCTCTCAGCCCAATCCAGAAACACAGCAGAGCATGTGGTCTTTCCTCTAAAACTGACGCTAGGGATTTTTTTGTTTTTCTGCAGAAGTACACAGATATTACTTGATGTTTGTCTCCACATTGTTTTGATGCATGCCATATTGTTTATGGTTGAAGGGTAATCCCATTTCTGAGCATGTGCTGTTATTACCCAGAAATATGAACGTAAGAATTATACCGTATGATATAACAGTCCCCTGGCATTACCCTCTGATAGCCTCATCATAACAGCAAGATCCCACTCACACACCATCATAGTACATGCCAATCTCTTGCAGCACACACACACACACTCACAAACACACACACACACACACATACACGTCTATATTACTAAAAGGGGACTATCACTCTACACTGGCCAAGAGGGGACTAGTGTTTCTGGTCATTTTGAAGAAACAAAAATGACGTACAAAATTCTCTTTTAAGGTCTTTTTTCATAATATAACTTTAAATATGCATTTTTTTATTTTTAAAAAAACATGCCAAGTGGGGACCTGAAACTCTGGCCGATGTCTACCTTACCAACAGGGGACTCATATAGCCTGCAATTGAACTGTGTGTCTGTGTGAACAGTGAAGTGAACTGGCAGTGAAATCTTGTCTTCATATTGTAACTTATACATACTTATACACATATATGTGTGTGTGTGTGGGTGTGTCATTATATAATGCTCAAACATATACATGTCTATATTGCTACACAGCAGTGTCGCTGTACACTGGCGAAGAGGGGACATTCTGAATGATATCTATCCAACCAAGTGGGGACTTTGTGTGTGTGTGTGAACTGGCAGTGAAATCTTTCTTCATTACGCTTACATTATATATCTATTATATACATTATATATATATATATATATATATATATATATATATATATATATATATATTTATATTTATATATATATATATATATAATATATTCACATAGAAAAACGCTGTTTTAAATTGTAATAATATTTCACAATATTACTGTTTTTTTTTTTTTTAAATAATTGCAGCCTTGGTGAGCAGAAGAGACTTCTTTTAAAAACATAAACAATCTTACCGATCTAAAACTATATATTTCTATACTACTAACAGCAGTGTCGCTGTACACTGGCAAAGAGGGGACATTCTGAATGATATCTATCCAACCAAGTGGGGACTTTGTGTGTGTGTGTGAACTGGCAGTGAAATCTTTCTTAATTACGCTTACATTATATATCTATTATATACATTATATATATATAAAATATTCACATAGAAAAACGCTGTTTTAAATTGTAATAATATTTCACAATATTACTGTTTTTTAATCAAATAATTGCAGCCTTCGTGAGCAGAAGAGACTTCTTTTAAAAACATAAACAATCTTACCGATCTAAAACTATATATTTCTATACTACTAACAGCAGTGTCGCTGTACACTGGCAAAGAGGGGACATTCTGAATGATATCTATCCAACCAAGTGGGGACTTTGTGTGTGTGTGTGAACTGGCAGTGGAATCTTTCTTAATTACGCTTACATTATATATCTATTATATATATATATATATATATATATATATATATATATATATATATATAGATATATATATATATTTATATATATATATTTATATATATACTGTATATAATACATTCACATAGAAAAACGCTGTTTTAAATTGTAATAATATTTCACAATATTACTGTGTTTTTAAAAAAAAAAAAATTGCAGCCTTGGTGAGCAGAAGAGACTTCTTAAAAAACATAAACAATCTTACCGATCTAAAACTATATATTTCTATACTACTAACAGCAGTGTCGCTGTACACTGGCAAAGAGGGGACATTCTGAATGATATCTATCCAACCAAGTGGGGACTTTGTGTGTGTGTGTGAACTGGCAGTGAAATCTTTCTTAATTACGCTTACATTATATATCTATTATATACATTATATATATATATATATATATATATATATATATATATATATATATATGAAGAGTTCAGATGCAGAAGCCTCTAAGTGCCGTTGGAAATATTCTTCAAAAATGATCATTTTTTATCAAGCTTATATATTCAAGTTCAGTAATTTCACTTAAATTACAATTAATAGGTAATCCTCATTGTTATTTAAGTGAAAGTACTGAATTTAAATATACAAGCTTGAAAAAAATGATCATTCTAGAAGAAAATTTCAAATGGCACTTAGAGGCTTTTGCATCTGAACTCTTCATATATATATATATATATATATATATATATATATATAATATATTCACATAGAAAAACGCTGTTTTAAATTGTAATAATATTTCACAATATTACTGGTTTTTTTATCAAATAATTGCAGCCTTGGTGAGCAGAAGAGACTTCTTAAAAAACATAAACAATCTTACCGATCTAAAACTATATATTTCTATACTACTAACAGCAGTGTCGCTGTACACTGGCGAAGAGGGGACATTCTGAACGATATCTATCCAACCAAGTGGGGACTTTGTGTGTGTGTGTGAACTGGCAGTGAAATCTTTCTTAATTACGCTTACATTATATATCTATTATATACATTATATATATATATATATATATATATATATATATATATATATATATATTCACATAGAAAAACACTGTTTTAAATTGTAATAATATTTCACAATATTTCTGTTTTTTTTTATCAAATACTTGCAGCCTTGGTGAGCAGAAGAGACTTCTTTTAAAAACATAAACAATCTTAACGATCTAAAACTATATATTTCTATACTACTAACAGCAGTGTCGCTGTACACTGGCAAAGAGGGGACATTCTGAATGATATCTATCCAACCAAGTGGGGACTTTGTGTGTGTGTGTGAACTGGCAGTGAAATCTTTCTTAATTACGCTTACATTATATATCTATTATATATATATATATATATAGATAGATATATAGATATATAGATATATATATTTATATATATATTTATATATATATACTGTGTATAATATATTCACATAGAAAAACGCTGTTTTAAATTGTAATAATATTTCACAATATTACTGTGTTTTTAAAAAAAAAATAATTGCAGCCTTGGTGAGCAGAAGAGACTTCTTAAAAAACATAAACAATCTTACCGATCTAAAACTATATATTTCTATACTACTAACAGCAGTGTCGCTGTACACTGGCAAAGAGGGGACATTCTGAATGATATCTATCCAACCAAGTGGGGACTTTGTGTGTGTGTGTGAACTGGCAGTGAAATCTTTCTTAATTACGCTTACATTATATATCTATTATATACATTATATATATATATATATATATATATATATATATATATATATATATATATATATATGAAGAGTTCAGATGCAAAAGCCTCTAAGTGCCGTTGGAAATATTCTTCAAAAATGATCATTTTTTATCAAGCTTATATATTCAAGTTCAGTAATTTCACTTAAATTACAATTAATAGGTAATCCTCATTGTTATTTAAGTGAAAGTACTGAATTTAAATATACAAGCTTGAAAAAAATGATCATTCTAGAAGAAAATTTCAAATGGCACTTAGAGGCTTTTGCATCTGAACTCTTCATATATATATATATATATATATATATATATATATATATATATATTCACATAGAAAAACGCTGTTTTAAATTGTAATAATATTTCACAATATTACTGGTTTTTTTATCAAATAATTGCAGCCTTGGTGAGCAGAAGAGACTTCTTAAAAAACATAAACAATCTTACCGATCTAAAACTATATATTTCTATACTACTAACAGCAGTGTCGCTGTACACTGGCGAAGAGGGGACATTCTGAATGATATCTATCCAACCAAGTGGGGACTTTGTGTGTGTGTGTGTGTGAACTGGCAGTGAAATCTTTCTTAATTACGCTTACATTATATATCTATTATATACATTATATATATATATATATATATATATATATTCACATAGAAAAACACTGTTTTAAATTGTAATAATATTTCACAATATTTCTGTTTTTTTTATCAAATAATTGCAGCCTTGGTGAGCAGAAGAGACTTCTTTTAAAAACATAAACAATCTTACCGATCTAAAACTATATATTTATATATTGCTACACAGCAGTGTCGCTGTACACTGGCGAAGAGGGGACATTCTGAACGATATCTATCCAACCAAGTGGGGACTTTGTGTGTGTGTGTGAACTGGCAGTGAAATATGTCTTCATTACAGTTAAATTATATATCTATTATATACATTATGTATATATATATACTATTTTTCTTATTTAACGCTCTCTCTTCATATACTTTCTATGCTTTGTTATGCAGTCCCTAACAATTTACTTGCCATAGTTATGTGCCATTGCACACACACGTCTATATTACTAACATATACATGTATTAACACAGAAGTGTCGCTGCACACTAGCCAAGAGGGAACTTTCTGAATGACATCTATCCAACCAAGTGGGGACTTTGTGTGTGTGTGTGAACAGTGAATTGAAGTGGCAGTGAAATACACATCCGTAAAGGGGGTCGCACACCGAATGAGAAGCGCAGCGCTGCGCCACGTCTAGGACAACTCCAAGTATCGCACACCGGACTCACTTTCTCATCAGTGTATGGCCAGCAATATTGTTATGTTTAATGACATGGAATGAAGATGTTTGTTCTATGTTATAATTGTACTGTACAATTAAATACAATCGTTGCTGAGTCTGCAGTCTGAAAACTACCTCAGAGCATCAGTTAACTGAATGAATTGAGAATCTCACATGAAAACCCAATTACATCAGCAATTGTCATTCAAGCAGCTGATTTATGTAAATGAATGCAAAACTAAATTTATTGCAGCATAGGGCAAAGTCAGTATACATTATCAACGA